TAATTTGGCTTTGATCTGACTTTTCGTTAATTAATGGTGAATTTTTCCCCCCAACTTTTGACAGCTGTCAAAATCTGACAGCTCCATTATTTCCTATGGGGGAAGAAAAAATTCAGAAAAAATTAATGAAGACTCAGCAACTGTTCTAAATTCTTGGGTTCGTTAGAGGACCTGCTCGCAGGCGCTGGGAAATGAGCGAGTCCGGGCAGACGAGCGAGCGAGCCGAGAGGGGAGGCCTCCCCGCTAATATCTGCAACGCCATCAGCAAAGTAATTTGTGTTGAATGTTCATTTTTTTATTGGTGTTCTCCCCTGTGCCAAAACGTGTGCTTGATTACAGAGATTGGGTTCTGCGCGCGCCCTCGACACACATCGAGGTGTAACCGAGGAAGCGGGGAGGGGGCGGTGCAGCCCCAGGCCAAAGCCCGGAGGAGAGGGGGCGAGACTATCCGCACCCCCCCACACACACACAGACGCATTTATATATTTATAGATGTGGGGGGGGTGGGAGGGGAGGGAGGGTGGCGCGCGCACACGCACGGAGAGGGGGCGCCTTCCCCAGGCTGTTTAAACGCCGGCAAAGGCGGCGTGCGTCGCTATTAGCGTTAAATATATGGCTAATTATGCATCAGTGTTATGCTAATAGGGCCGCCTTCAGCTGTGGATCAGAGCACTTGAGACTAGCATTTAATCAAATGAATCAGTAACTAATACAGCTGCACGTGTGAACTTTCCGCAAGATCAGACCCCTCCCCCTCCCCTGCCTCGCCGTCCGGCTTCTTCTCTCTCTCTCACACACACACACACACACAAACGACAAAATGACGGAGGAATAATTAGCCGCCGCTCCCTAATTATGAGACGCCGGAAAGTCATTTGGGACCGAGCCCGGAAGGCCTGATGGTGCCGGAGCTCCAAAATCCCTGACCGCCAACCTTGCGATGGGAGCCGGTTGAGAGAGGAGGCCTTGGGGGTCAAACACGAATCCCAAGCTGCAGGAAGAGGAAGGCGGTGGGGGGAGAGGAAGGGAGACGCTTTGTGGGAAGAGGCACAGGCCACCATAGGGTCACTTGAGCGCCCTCGGGGCGGGGGGAGATGTGCGGCTTCGGGTCTGGCGTGGACGGGAGACAGGCGCGGCTCTGTGGCTTCCTCACAGGAAGAAGGAGCGCCCCAAAGCTAACCCTAACCCTGCCTGTCCTGGAAAGGGATCCCTCCACGACCACCACACAGGCACACGCAAGCAACTGCCCCTCCCCCTTCCGACCATGATCTTGTTTCGAGCAAAGGCCACGAAGAGCTCTCGTTCACCGGTTCTGTAGAGAGAAGAGGCCCGGCAAAGTCCCCCCAGGCACACAGCAGCCTTCCTCGGCTATTAAGGGTGCTCTTTCCTAGCACCTACCATCCGGGCAGGCGGTAGTCCGAAAATGAAGCCGGAAGGACGGACCATCTCAGGGTTCCCTTTCGCTGCTGAGGCCAGGAGACCCTCTTTCATCACTCAGTGAAAGCGCATAAAATTGAATACAAAAAGTTGCCTGCGAAAACTCAAGGGGCAACTCATCCGCATCAGATTAATTTTAAAAGGGGTCCCAAGACAGCAAAGGCCTAAACTCAGCCGCTGAAATTCTACGTGCTTTTCTTGTTGTCCCGGGAAGAATTCTGTCAAACCCTCGAGTTTGCCCACAGAATTTGACCAAAACATTAATCTAAAGAAACGCGCCCTCGAAGAAGAGGGTTTCTAGGGTTATCAGGTCAACTTTTTACATTTTGCTCAGCTTTGTTCTGAATCCAAGCTGCCGGAATCCTTGGTCCATTAAAGGTCACCCCAGTCCTCCGCACTTTTTGGTGTTACACCGGCAGCAAAGGTCAGCCCTGCCCTGCTGTGAGGAAACGGACGAACCCCCTTGCCCCTTTTTGTTGTACCATGTAAATAACTGTTCACCTACACATGGAAGCGCCTCCGAGGATGCAACGCACTGCGCCGTTTCCCAAATTCTCCCAACTTTCTAGGGACAAACTGCGCGCCTGCTTGTTTGATGAGGAGCCCCCACGGAAGAGCAGAGGTGCGATGGTGTGGGTTGGGACCCTTCACCCAAACCAGTCTTCGATTTCCACGACCCCTCGACCCCAAACCCGCTCCCAGATTTCACGCCTACATTGTGGATTGAGAACCACCTGGATCGTTACTTAAGGTGTAAGAAGCAGAAAGGGACCCATCCGTAGTTTCCGCCTTGGACGCGAGCGATCGGAGTAGATGCTCTCTCCAAGAAGGCAAGGAGGCCGGGGGAGGGCGAGGGGGGGGGGGTGGTGTCTCTGGGGGGGGGGGAGGGCGGCCAATGGGTCTCCTTCCCCTCCATCCGTGTCGCTTGCTCTCATCTGACACTGATGGCCAGTCCCTAGCGATATCCGCGGGATTAGAAGTACAGTAAAGTGGAGTGAAGAAGGCCTGGGGAGGGGGGGGAGCCCTCCTCGGATGCTCGGATCCCTCCCCTCCGCCTCCCGCCCGGCTTCTCGTGTGTGCACCTTTCTCCTCTCCCTCCCTCCTTTCCCTCCCCTTCGTCGTGGCTGGAAGGGGGGGGCGGCGGCGGTGGCCGGAGGCGACTCTTGGCGGCGGCGGCCGCTCCTCCTCGGCCCCGGCCAAGTCCAGCCGCTCTCCTCGGCGTCTCTCGCGCTCGCCCGGGTCCAGGCGGCGTCGCCCCCCGAAAAGCGTCTCCGGCCAATCGCGAGCGATTATGCCAGACGGCGGGCCAATCAGCTCGCCGGGCTCATGCATATTCATAGCTTTTGGCTGAGTCAAAGCTTTTAGGCGAGTTTGTCTAGATCTCCAGCATCCATGCCGGAGACTTTTTCCAAAGCGACAAACTCCATTTTTTCTTATGAATGGAAAGTGAAAAGCCCCGGCGGGCCTCTGAAATTGGGTCTTGAGAAAGCGAGGGAGAGGGGAGAGCCCCCCCCCGCACAAAGGCAAGCTGAAGGAAGAGAGAAAGAGTGAGTGAGTGAGTGAGAGAGAGAGAGAGAGAGAGAGAGAGATTGCGGGAGCTGGCGAGGCACCCAAGGCAGCGGCGAGCAATGACCATGACCACCATGCCAGAGAGCCTAAGTAGCCCGGTCTCCGGCAAGGCCGTCTTTATGGAGTTCGGGCCGCCCGGGCAGCAAATGCCTCCCTCGCCCATGTCCCACGGACACTATTCCATGCACTGTTTACACTCGGCCGGCCACTCGCAGCCGGACGCCTCCTCCTACAGCACGGCTTCGTCTTTCTCCAGACCGCTGGGCTACCCTTATGTCAACTCGGTCGGCAGCCACGCGGCCAACCCTTACATGAGCTCGGTGCAGTCCTACCCCAACAGCACCAGCTTGGCTCAGACCCGGTTAGAGGAGACAGGTACGTGCCGCTTGACTGCAGGAAGGGAGGGAGGGTGGGAGGGAGGGAGGAAAGCGATGACAAACCTAGACAACATCTTAAAAAGCCACCCTTCCCCGCCTTATTTCAAGCTTTCTGTTTTGCTTGCCTGTTCTTTTTCATAGTTTTGAGTCAGTCTCAAACCTCTTCCCCCCCCAAAAAAAACCCCCAATGATAATAACGAAAATAATAATGGTGATGCACAAAAATGCTGCAGGGCGCGGGGAAAGGCAATCCGAAATAAAAACAAACGGCCGTATCAAAAGGCAGCCGGCTGCCCTCCCCTCTACCCCGCCGAGAGAGCGGGCAAATTCCTCCAGCCAAACCTCCTGCAAGTTCTCTGGAGTTTGCACACAAAGCCACGCCATGCCCGGCTGGGAAAACCCAGAAAGAATCTCTCTCTTCCTCCCCCCCCCCAGATGTGCGCCTATTAGGCTCGGCAATTATTTATTGCGTAGGGCTATAAACAATGTATGCAATTAAGGATAATTAAACCTAAAGTGCCGCCGCCTGTAAAAATAGCAAAGTTTTTTCCCCGCTTCCCCTCGGGCGATGTGGATGGAGCTTCGGGAGTGGCAGCCACGCTCGCTTGGTCGCTTCTAAACCCGAGCAGCGGCCGAACTCGGAGGGCTCTGGCGATGGTGAGCGGTGAGGACCACCACCATCAGCAGCAGCAGCAGCAGGAGGAGGAGAAGGACGATCACGAAGGGGCCTCCTTGGCTTTGCTCTTCTTGGGGCCTTTCCAAGGCGAACGGGTTTCTTGGGACAATACTCTGCAATTCAGTGGTTACTGTTTTGCGGCCGCCGCCCTCTTCAACTGGGCCACACACTCCAAGGGAGCCCCAGCGATCTCGCGGGCCAACCATCTCGGCCCACCTTTACTCACTTTGGGTCGCTTCTTGCAGGGGCCGAGACGGAGAAAAGCACTGTGGTGGAAGGCGGGGAAGTGCGCTTCAACGGCAAAGGGAAAAAAATCCGGAAACCTCGGACGATCTACTCCAGTTTGCAGCTTCAGGCGTTGAACCGGCGGTTCCAGCAGACCCAGTACCTGGCTTTGCCCGAAAGAGCTGAGCTCGCCGCTTCCTTGGGACTCACCCAGACTCAGGTAAGAGCAGCAGCAGCAGCAGCAGCAGCTACGGATCATTCGCCCTTAGGCACACAGATGCGACCCCCGCCCCGGTCCGGCCTCTGGTGCCCTGGGCATCTTCGGGGCCTCGCTTTCTCCCCGGGCCCTTCCTGAATCATCTCTGCAGAAAGGCCCTCTTGGAGAATCCACGCGGGCCGGGCGTGTGTGCGTGTGCGCGCCCGCGCAAGACCCAGAGAGACAGGGCACGGCCGGACTCACAGAACAAAAGGACCTGGGGCGCGTCCAGGCGCTTTCCCTCTCCACTTCGCCGCCGCCGCACCATTTCTGCCCTCCAATAGTTGGGGAAATTCCCTCTTTTTAAAAAAAAATGGCTTGAATTTTTAGGATTACCTTGATTTTAAAAATACTAAGTGGATGAAGAGTTGGTTGGCGCGCCCATTTTAAAAAGGAAACATCTGCTCCATGAGAGTTATTTATTCCCACTGCTCCGTCCTTTGCCTGATTTGCCCTCCAGTCCAACCAAATAAAACTCTTCCGCACCATAAAAATGCGCGCAGGAGATGCTTTGTGGGCGAAAGGTCTTTTTGTTTTGTTTTGTTTTGTTTTGTTCCTGCAAAGGTTTCGGTTGTTGCACAACCGGGATCTTGAAGGATCAAAAGGCAGAATCAGGCGGACGTAATTTTTGGCAAAGGGAAGGACCGTCCCCGTTCCCACGAAATCATATAGGAACGCGAGGGCGTCCACTTAGCCAACGACCACTAAATCCTCATCCCATTCATTCTTTGGCGTGTGTTTTTTCAGAAAGGCAGGCAGGAGGAATGTCCCAAACGCTAAAATTGTCTGGCACCACCGAAGTCCCTTTAAAGAAAACATTTCACTCGTGTTTGGGCTCTCCCCCCCCCCCGAATCCGACAAACCCTATGTAGAACGTGGGAAACCCTAGGGACAGACTTGGGAGTAAAACGGTCCAGGGTTTCACGGAGCGCCTGTGAAAACTTGGAGATCGCGGCGAGATGAGATTCTTGGCCTATTTTTTTTAAATCAGTGGCGTTTAGAACTGAAACGCACAGGCCAGCTTTCTTGCTCAGACCAGGGCGCTTCCCTCTAAGGATCCAAGGGTGGGTTTATTTTGGTAGGAACTTTTTCCTCCTTAAAGATCTTTGTAAAAGAGGCGGTAGTGGAGAAAGGAATTCCGCTTTACTGTTCAGCGGTCCCAACCGCTATCTAACCGAGAGCGCCTCGGTTCCCACACGTTTGGCCCCGTGCGCCCAAGGGGGCGATTTGTATCAATCAAGGGTCCTTCCTCGGGGTCACCCCGCCGAGAGCCGCCTGGCCGCCTTGGGACTGGGATACCGTATTTCTCCGGGCAGAGGCCCCCTTTCCGCCCGGCGATTGGAAAAGGCCCCAGGCGCGAGCGAGAAGGGTCTCGCCTGCTGTTGTGCGTGTCTCGCATGTTTTGTCTCTCTCTCTCTCCCGGGGAAACAGGTCAAGATCTGGTTCCAGAACAAGCGCTCCAAATTCAAGAAGCTGATGAAGCAAGGCGGGGCGGCTTTGGAGACCAGCGCGCTGGCCAACGGGGGCCGATCCCTCTCGGGCAGCTCGCCGCCGGTCTGGAACGCCGCCTCGTCGTCGGGTAAGAGCTCCGCCGGCACCCCGGGCACTTACATCCCCAGCTACACGTCGTGGTACCCCTCGGCCCACCAGGAGACTATGCAGCAGCCGCAGCTCATGTGACGGGCCCGGG